CTGAAGGCGATTCCACCCTTGAGCAGTGAACCACATTGACACGAGTCTTGTGGGTCTTGGTGGTCAGCCACGGATGCCAGCGTGGAGAGAGAATGGGCAAAACCTGCGTGGGAAAGGTAAGGTTGGTTCGGCTGGCACTGCCCAGCGCAGGCTGCCGCTGGCTCGTGCTCACCCAGGATGTTTCAGGACCATACCCAATTTGGTGCTCTCGGGTCCTGTGCCTGGAGAGGAGCCCGGCGGGGCGGGTCGGATGTGCCTTCTGCGCAGAACAAGTTTCTACCTCGTCTTTAGGCAGAGGATTGGGTGATGAGCGGCGTATGGAGGCTGCTGATAGGGACAGCAATAGAGTAGCAACTTGCTGGGAAATAAAGTAATTGCAGAGGTGGGTGTTTTCTCCACTGTGCACGTGCGTCTGCAGCTGAGCGGTAGGTACGGACCAGGTAACCACACGTTGCGGTGGGCAGATGAGCGGAGCGTACCTGTTCTCGTGTGTGTGCACTTCCCAGGCAGGGAGAGGAGGTAACGTAGCCTCCGCAGTTCAGGAAAGTGGGTCCCGAGTGCCCCTTCTGAAGCAGTGTGGCCATCCCGTGCTGATCCGCAAGCTCAGGTTTAAGCAGGGCTGCTTCGCTGAGAGCATCTTGAGCGTTGACAGTTTGCTCCGATAAGGGATTATTTTTATTCTGTCTCCTGACTCCACTTGTGTTTATGACCAAGGGTTTTGGTAGAGGAACCTCCCAGCTTCTGTGCCAAGCTGTCTGGGTGGCAGTGTAAGGTCCAGTCCTGCATAATGCTGGATGCCTAAAAATGGGAACAACGGGGGGGCAAAGCCTCTCCACCCTGTGCGGGGTCAGGCCCAGCATTTGGTCTGCGGGTCTCAATAGATCCTAGGCTGCACATAACATGACAAAAGGCCTCGGAGGTAGCTAGATGTTAGATGGATAGATATCGGAGAGAGAGGTGTGTGTAAATGTCTGTCTGTCTGCATCTATCTATCTGCATGTATGTACCTCTGTGTGTACATCCATCTATCGGTCGATCGATAGAGGAGAACTTGGGCAGTAAGATCGGGACGATGTGAAAGATAATTATGCATAATGGCAAAGCTAAAGCACTAAATGTGTAAACTTTAACTAAATGCCCTTTCTGATTTGGTTTTCTGTCACGTTGAATGTTCTTGGCTTTGTTCATTTTCCTCTTTAGAAGCAGATGAGTAACGGTTAACTTGTTTCTGAGAAGTAGCTTTGGGGGGTGGACCACAGCGTTCATTTTCCGCGTGCCCTGGAGATGAGATAGCAATGCACACCCCAGCGAGAAGGTGTGGGGCACTGGAGGGGGAAGATGGGAGCCTTTTTAATCCATTAGACGGAGGGTAATTTTGGGGTGGAAAAGGATAGCAAAAGCTGTGCTTGCTATGCAGTTTTTCTACTGCTGGTGACAAGGGTCAGGGTAAAATCAATGTCCGACTTAAAGTCCACTCCAGTAAGGTGCAGAGTCCTCGGAGCCATCGTCGAAGTTGCGACCCGGACCGTAGTCGCAGAGAGAGGAGGATAAGAGGCTCTGGGGTGGTCTGCTGGAGGCAGCACTTACAGACAAAGCCAAGAATGAAACTGCCACTTGCAAAAGATGTTTTTTTGCAGTGCCGATGTTTTTCCTTCCCTTGCGTCGCACTCTTTTAAATATAGTGCAGCGTTTCCTTCAAGTGCTGCCTTTGTTATCCGGCTCTGGTAGTGCCAACTGGCTGCAGACTCGCTGGAAGCTGAGGCGGGCTGATAAGCGAGGTGTTTGGGTACTCGTGCTGAAATGACCCATCACTTGCTGGGTATCGCGTGGCACCGCCTGCCCAGGCTGTGGAGACCTGGCTAGAAAGCCTGTGGATTAAACCCCACCAGACTGCAGCAGGTCAGCACAGATCGGGAACATGGGATGTGTGTGCGAGTGCACTGTTGCACGCTCTTTGCAGTGGAGAAATGTCTTCCCTTTGTCGTGCAAACTTGCAAAGACTTGTCTGGGATTTCTTGTGACTGGCATGTGTACAAGCGCCCTGAGTGATGGCATGACGTCCGTCCACAATAACCCATCCTGCCCGACCCCGCGAGCTGTTGGCATTAAAGAAAGAGCCATAACTGCACGCAGGCCCTTGGGGAATGATGCCAAACGCCTCTAGCGCCTTCGCTAACATTTGCACAAAGTCAGCAGGCAGAAGGGCTCTCGAGGCAGTTCGCCTCTTAAGGCTTACCCAACGTGTTCTGTAAATGCCCCCACTTTTGATGGCAATTTCTGCAGGGGGCTAAGCTGAAGAGCCCCTCGTGGCTCAGGGGCAGTGGCCTGGCTGTCATGGGGACGTTGGCATGGGTTTTGCAGGTGCAGGGAAAAAGCAGAGACTTTCTCTGGGAAAGTAGGCTCCCTCCTCCTCTTCCTCCTTCCCAACCCAATGCTCCTGAGGCCGGTTTGGAAACCTCAGGAGGAAGTGTACTGGCCTGGACTGTACAGTTAGGTCAAAATTTAAGTGCAGCAGCCGGCCCGCGACTAGCGTCGGGCTCCCCTTTGTACGGTGGGAATAGCAGCCGCATGCTGCAGGCGAGTTGAACAGCAGCACGTTCCTGAGCCCAGGGGTCCCCCAGGCACCGCTCCCCAAGAGATGCTGCAAATACCCATTTACAAGGAGCTCTTCAAAGTGCTTTGCGGCTCGGAGCCTGTTCCCTGCGGAGAGGTGGCAGCGCATCTGCTTCCTCTCGAGGTGGAGGGGGACTCTCGGTTACAGCTGTACCTGCCAGAGGCTGTGATTTTACTGGAGAAGAGCCCTCCTCGCGCCTGCCAGGAGCACCCCATGAGGCAATGCCTGTTGTGGTCGTTGTGCAAAAGAGAAACCGAGGCGCAGAGACGTGTCCGAGACCAGACGGTGAGAGGCGAGGTTGGAATCGGGACCCGGGAGCCCTGAGCCCTGGTTCAGCCCGCAGGCTTGTGCTGCCTGCAGCTCCTCGCGCCGGGCGTGCGGCGCGTGCGGCCCCTTTCTGTGGCTGTAGAAACAGGCTCAAAGCTCCTCTCTGCAGGGCCTATCCCAGGACCCGAGAGCCGGTTATTCCCGTCTCCCACCAGCCTCTCCGAGCTGCGCATCCAGGCTGGCTGGACTGGTGGTGGGACCTGCAAGGGCTGAGGTAGGGGGGAGATGTGCGGGTGCCCCGGGAGTTGGGGAGTTCAGAGAGGAGCCAGCGTCTCACGGCCACCCTGCTTATCCCACCCCTTGTGGGAAGGAGCCCCCAGGACTTCGGGGTACCTCAAACCTCTGCAGCGTGGACACTTCCGTACCTCCTTCCCATCTGCTAACGTCCAAGGACAAGCCCCAGCTGAGATCTTCCCCATGGCAGCTCTGGAAGATGGCTCTTGTCTTTTTGTGAACGTGAAATGAGCTGCTCCCGGCTAAGGAGCTGGGCCTGCCATGCGCGGAGCTTGTGCTGTAGCCAGGGAGAGCCCGTGCCTTGGCTTGGTTCGCAGTCGTAGGACCAAAACGACCAGAGAAACAGGTCCCTGATGGAGCATCCCGCTGGTGCAACCGCTGGCAATGTGGGGGACAGAGCCCCAACCCCAAAGCTGTGGAGGTCTGGGCAAGGATCCAGACTTTCTCCCTCTTTCCCAGTCCCTGTGTCAGCGGTGTACCTCAGGCCGCCTTCCCCCCTCCAAAGTGCCCTGGGGGCTGGCCCGAGGTATCTCTGCTTCCACGATCCTTGTGGCAAGGGCTGCTCTTCCCTTCGGCCCAATGTAAGACGGTTGTAAGCGGCCCGTAGGCTTTGTTCAGCCAGCCATACTGCCTCCTCAGTCGCAAGCTGTAGAGGACTAATGAATCCCCAGCCAGTGTCGTGATTTGGCATGGGAGCAAAGCCGTGCAAAATGCAGCCCGTGCATGCCTGAATCCAAAGTTACCTGGCCAGGGCCCTTCCCTCAATCACTGCTTTCACTATAGCAACCTCCCTTGTATTTGTGCTCTTGTTCTCCCTAGCACACAAGCCCGGGGCCTTGGCAGTAGGCACTGGGTGAAGAGGTAGGGAGGTGGAAGTGAAGACAACCTCAACCTGAGTCACTGATGAAGGATTAGCCGGAGCCGGTCTCCAGGGCGGTGGAGGCGGAAAGCGTTCACAGCCAAAGCAGGTGCTGCCTGGCCCGACCACGATGCTGAGCTTGAAGTTGCCAAGGCTGCTCAACATTAATCAAGTGCCCAGAGTAAGTGTGGTTTTGCTTCGTGGGTCTCTCTTGAGTCTGGCTGCTGCTGTGTCGGGACGTAGCAGCCTGTTGCAGCTCGGTGCAGCTTTTCTTTCTGAATCATCACTTTGGAGCATTTAAATTGGAGCTGGAATATTAAATATTTGGGTTAGACTCTGCGTCCAAGCCTAGCAGTCCTCATCCCGTCCAAGAAAAGACCCCTTTTTTCAGAAATTCTTGAAATATTGAAGTTACTTTGCTGTGTTAGAAGTGGGTTGTGTGTGTGTGCATGTATAGTGTGTGTATCTATTGATAGATATATATACATATGTGTGTGTAAATATAATCTATCTAGAGATAGTTAGATATTAGGTAACAGATATATGTGTGTGTAAATATTTATATTAGATAGACAGATATATGTGTGTGTGTGTGTGTGTGTAAATATAATTTATCTAGAGATAGCTAGATAGATGGATATTAGATATATGTGTATGTAAATATAATCTATCTAATATAGCTGCGTGTATAAATATATCTATCTATCTGGAGATAGCTAGATATTAGATAGATTGATGGATAGATATTAACTATATATATAGACACGCACACATTCCTATATAAATGTATAAAAATCACTTCAAACAAAGCAAAGTAAATTCAATATTTCAAGAATTTCTGGAAAAAAGGGTCTTTTTTTTTTTTTGAGTGGGATGAGGTTTGCTTGTTTAGGATGCAGGCTCTAGCCCAAACATTTAATACTGCAGTTCTGGTGTGTATATGTGTATGCACGCACGCATGCCCTTTATATATACACTTGTTGCTTATGGGAAAAAATGATTAACGTGACCAGAGAACTTTCATCCACCAAAAAGCGGGTTGTGGTGAATGTGATTTTGACTGCCATTCACAATATCTTTAAAAACAGATTGAAAAGCAAGAAATCTGTGCTGTGAAAAACGGAAAATGTTGAGCATGTGGCATAATATTTTGTTACTGCGGAAAGGCCAGTGGGGTTGGGAAAGAAAACAAACCCCAAACCAGCCAACCCTCTTGCATCAACAGACATTGCCCCACTCTGCAAAGAAAATTGGCCTCATGTTCCAAAAAATGCAGACCAAGGCCAGCTGAAACCTCTACCGAGAAATGAAGTGTGTTGGTTGGTTTTTTAAAGCTAATACTTAGCTTCTATGGGAGGGCAAAAGCAGCAGGTCAGATGGAGCGCTCCTGTGTGTGTGTTGGGTTATCCCGTGCCCTTTACTGTGGGAGCTACATGCCAGCTGAGCAGTTAGTGTGATCAGGACAAGACTAGCAAAGCTGGTGCATGCAGTTGTGATGCTTTGCCCTTGCTAAGGCACTTTGGCCTGGCCTGGTTTTCTACAGATCGATCACTTGAGCTGTTTGGAAAATCAGGCCTAGGATATCTATGTGAGGTCCCAAGACGGTGCATCTTGCAAAGCTGGGATGTGCCGGGATGTTCTGATCCTGCCAGCATGGGCACGGGCGTAGCAATGGGCTGGCCTCCACACTGCTCTGAGCAGACAGAAACCATTGCAGATAGATCTGCTGCAAACCCCGAGTGCCTGCAGGATCAGGCACTGCATTGAGGGTTGGTCCATGCCAATGGGGCCGACTTTTTTGGCAGGTGCACCACAAATTAGCCTTGCCCCCTACCTGAGTGCTGCTCTGATCCTCTTCCCCTGTCCCATCTGCTGCTCTGCTTGCTGTGCTCCCAGCCTGGTCTGCTGCTCTGCTTGCTGCTTCTTGCCTTGTGCTCCCTGCCCCACCTGCTGCTCTGCTTTCCCTTTCTGACCCATGTGCCCCTGCGCTGCCTGTCCCCTCCCTGATCTGCCACATGCCACACACACGAGCTGCCTGTACCACTTAGGACACCCTTGGTGTATCTGTGCATCCCCAGGAGCATGTGGGTGAGTGCGCCCCATGCATCCAATCCACGGATATGCTCCATGCCTGGATGGCTGCCGGTGGGGACCTCGGCACCCCAGGCCTCAGTGGGGTCCAATCCAGAGCTGCTCATTAACAGCTGAAACTTGCAGCAGACTCGGGGAAAGTGGGATGTGGATTGGGCACACTCAGACCTGTCCTCCTCGAGACCTAGGATCTCCTGGGTGCTTCAGGCTCCTGCCCTGTGATTGTTCCTTACCTGGGCAGGTAAGGAAGGGAACGTGCCATTTTTGTCCACCTACCAGCTGGCTTAGCCCACACGTTCAGAACAAAAGGCAATTCCCGATTTTGAGCTGCGATGCAGAATATAACGCCCCTCTTCCAGGCAGCTCCTGAGCAGGGGTATTGATGCAGGGCCGGGCATCCAAATACACTCCTGTGGTGCAGGGCGAACAGCACAGAGCCCATCTAAATGAGAGGCTTCTGCTCATTCCCTTCCAGGTGTTTCGTGAGCAGGGCATCGTGTTCGGGTACCGCCATCCCAGAAGCTCAGCTGCAGATTGCCTCCTCAGTGTCTTCCAAATGACAAATGAAACCCTAAATATCTGGACGCATTTTGTGCCTGCCTGGTATTTACCCTGCTTTCTCTCAGATGCTTCCTTTCGAGATATTCTTACCAGCCCTCCTCCGTCCGTGGGAATCAGCGATGGGTTGATAACCCATCGGGGGTGGGAGGTGGCAGGGGAAGGGGACGCTGGCACCGGGGCGAGTCGCAAGCTGCGCTCACGGCTTCGAGCAAAAAAGCGCCCGGGAGCCCAGATAGCAGTAACCCACGTCTAGGCCCGCCAGGCAAAATGAGAGGTTGCAATCCTGGCCCCACCGAAACCGAGGCGAGTAGGTTGTTGTCTTCAGTGGAGCCAAGATTGCCCCGTAACAAGCCAGGTCTCACTGGAGCCTTTGTCTTCCAGCTACTTCCTAGGGAAGCTGCTTGCCTTGTTATATTCGCTGGATCTCTGCAACAACGCGTACGCTTGGCCCCTTCTTGCCTACATGATCACCTGCTGCATTTACCCCTTCATGTCCAGCTGTGCCCACACATTCAGTACGATGTCCACTCAGGCGAGACACATCTGTTACTTCTTTGATTACGGCAGCCTCAGCATCTACAGCCTGGGTAAGAGCCACTGCAAGCGCTGCGCAGAATAACGGGTGGGATTTTCCGAGCTGCCTAGGACTTTGGGGTTGACCTCCCATCTCGTTAAGGGTGCATCTCAGTGGGGCTAATGAGGCCAGGTGGAGTGCTGCCCAAACGGGGCTCTTCTGCTTCCTGTCGTGGAGCTAGTGCAATCGGAGATCGCTGGTGTGGCATTGCATGGACATATCCTGAAAGCTGATGGCATTTAGGTTCCCGACAATGGGTCTGAAGTTCCTAAGACACTTCAGCCCGCTGGAGCATTTTGCATTGCTGAATGCAAGGGGGGAAGGCTCTTGCATCGCTTTGTGCACTAAGGAGCTGGAGGAATGGAGGAAAGGGATCTCCTGACAGCTCTCAGCACCCGGGAGCGGGAGCTTGTGACAGAGAAGCCGTCTCCACCCCAGCTGCACAGTGCACGCGGTTGTCTGGGCTTTGTGAATCACCAGGGTTTTTTCCTGTCTTTAATCCAATGTGACCTGCAGCCTTCAGAGGTGGAGGCATGCCAGCCCTCGACCCTGGCCCCGCAGTTGGGTGAATAGCAGCACTTTGCATGTTAGCTCAGCACAGACCCAGACAGACACACAAACACCATCCCCGTGGACGCACACAACTCGTCCAGCTGTCGCTGCCAGAGCCGGCCTGGGAAAAGACCTGTTCTCGGGACTTCTGCTGCCCTCTGCAGACCTTCACGCATGGCTTCGATCTGTTCATGCTGGGTCCTGTCGTCCTCTGCGCGATCCTTGAAGGACGGCGCTGGCTTTTTTTTCACAAGCACATGCTGTGCATGAATCGTAGAGAAGAGGCCGGCGTGGTAGCTTGCTACTGCTACAGCTTTACAGACATGGTTTACCTGCATGCTGAGTCCAGGAGACCTGCGTGAGCATCGTTCTGGTGTTTTAACGATGCAAATGCAGGCCCTGGATCTTATCGCTCTTGATTATTCCTATGCATTTGACATGGTTTGGAGTGGCCTTTGGCTTATAAACCATATCTGTCACTGATGCTCTTATTGCTGATTCCTAGCGTAAAAGGAAGAAGCCTGGATCCAAACAGCCCCAAATCTCCATTACCCCCCCCCACACCAAAAAGAAAAAATAAGCGAGTGACGTTATCCCCCAAGCTGCTCTGCAAGCTGAAACACCAATTCGGCACATCACTAACGTAGCCACCCTCCCGGGAATTCGCAGATAAGTCTTATCAGTGCTCAGTCACATGCAGGGTTGCTGAAAGGACCCTGCCCAGAGTCGGTTTAATCTCAGCGATGCATCTCATGTAAGCATGGGTGGGAAGCTGCTGTCTGGCTTGCAAATCACATGCATTCTGGGGTGAAGTTGCTGCCGCTGGGTTTCTTTACCGTACGTGTAAAAGAACAGGCCTGGTGGGGTTCGTTCCCCCTCTGTGTCTGGGCATCCTCTTGGCAACTACCCGGGTGGTAGTTACTCCTGGCACTTAATAAAATAATTTGGGCATAGACCTGGGTGAAATGAAAGAAAGTGCACGGACCCGCAAGGACACACGAACACCAGAGACACTAGAAGCATTTCCCCTGCAACTAAAAACGTCCTGATACAGCAAGTCGCTGGCTTGTTTGAAAGTCAGAGGTTCATTTCCCAGGGGTTTGAATTCATCCCATTATCCCACAGGTTTCGTTCATGTTGGGGGAACTGTAGGCATTTGTTACCTCTCAAACCCCACGCCAAGTCATATTGAAGGTCTCTGTGAAAAGGAACGTGCCACTACCTGACCTGCATGCGTTTGTTTGAGACATAAACCGTTGTAGAAAAAAGGTTACTGAATAATACATCAATGATATTCAGTACTGATCTGGGTGTTGTTTTTATTTTCAGGTTCTGCAATTGCTTATTCAGCGTACGTTTTCCCAGATGAATGGCTCAATAGCACTTTCCATCGCTGTTACGTGCCCATTGCTGTGTGTAACGCAGCCCTTAGCACTGGTCTCTCCTGCTTTTCCAGGTACTGTTACATCCTGCCCTTTCCACTACGATGGCTAAAGCATGTTCATTTAAAAATGCAGCCTTGGAATATGTTGTATCGCTAAATGCAGTGAACTGGAGAACGGATAGATGGGGCATTTACTCTTATTACCACGTTGCGCGCTGGCACTAGAATAGTTTCCAAAATGCCTGTGAAAATACTTCATAGGTGAAGCTTTAGACTTGTTGAAAGAGAGTTTCATATCTTACTGTCTCCAGCAGGAAGATGTCTGCCTATAGTAACTTGTTTTTCTTTAATTACAGCATGTCTGAGATGAAATGTGTGCTCCAAGTGCTTAAGCCTATGCTTAATTTTAAGCGTCTGAATTGTCCCATCAAAATCCATGGGACTGCTCATGTGCACGATGCTAAGGATGTGTGTAAGGTTTTGCAGGTGTGTGGCCTTAAAGTTCATACGTCTAACTGACTCCTTGTTAAAGAATAATGAATATGACATGTATGTCTGCTGTGAGAAGATACCTAAAGGCGAGCCTCCCTGAGTATCCTCCTTATTTATAAACCCCAAGCATCCTGGCAAGGGATTTCTTAGGAAATTTGTGGGGGGAGTAGGACATTTTGACTTGGGCAACTTTTCTCAAAGCTTGTTAAATACTTAGCTAGCTTCTGGTATGAATAACTGACCACATCTCAAGCCAGATATTACTCATTTTACTTCATAGTGGAAATTTTCTTGGAAGCTTTTTTGTGTGACATGCTATTAGTTCCCTTTATGATCATGTAGTTTGCACATGATAGCTGATTTCTATTTCTGAGCTGTGAATTGCTTGATGTAATTAGTCTGTTTTGTGCATTCACTGGCTGTGAGTAAAATGTTGCTCGTTAGCATGTGTGTGTCCGGTACAAGATGCACAAAAGTCACCCATGGCAGTTTCTGGTTAAAGACATTTTGCTGGTCGGCTTCACTGCACAGGGTTTGGCGCTGAACCAGTGCTGCTGTTGGTGCCTAAATGAATGAGGATGCTGTAGTCTCCGAACAGGGAGAGGGACATTGCAAAAGACAAAACATCAAAACAAAAAGGACAGAGGTAGCGGGGAACGAACCGGTAGCTCGGCAGTGCAAGGTATCGCCAAACCCTGTATTGCAGATGCCGTTTGGTGGGAGTATTGCAGGATCCAGACCAACTCATCAGCATTTGGGAAGGAAGCTTGGACCTTTCGTTGTTAATGCTAAGTGTTACATGTTGTAGCAGAATTAGGAATAGGTATGTTTAGACTATCTTGCTAATCTTCTTTCCCTCCCTTTTTTTCCCCCCCTGTATATAGTCTCCATTTATTTTTTCCCCTTTTTTTCTATTAGTTTCCCCTCTTCCTTTGTGTTCTGTCTGACTCCTGATACTGTCTGGCGAGGTGGTTGAGCTGAGGACAGGTGACAGTGGTTTAATTTGTTTCAGTTTACGATTGTTATGGCATTTTAGTGAAATAGGATCAGCCCAAGATTTGTGCTTTTTTTTTTTAAACCCAAACCCCAATAACAAAGCAAACCCCTTGATTTATTTTAAATTAATTCTTTTAGACCTGAAAAGCAAAATGCAACATCTCTGTATTGCAAAACAGTAAGCATAATGACACAAGAAATGCTTAACCGTTACCAGAAGACGGTGGAGCGCTAGCTCTGGTTGCCTCAGTCATTCTGCATTTGTCGTGCCTCTTTCAACGGTCGGTTGTTTAAGAATCCAGGAGAAGCTTCCTAAGTACCCAAAAAATGTCATTCCCCCATGTGAGCAAGTGGGGAATGAGACCCACTGATTTTGAACAACAGATGACGAGGGATGGACCCGATGATCTCGTGAGGTCCCTTCGAGCCCTAAACGTCTGTGACTCCTGTGATACTTTTGCTGATGGGTTGTAGCATAACTAGTGAGGTGAATGGGACATCGGTCCTATATGCCAGCATGGAGGGAGTGCCCTGATCTCCCCTCCTCCTGCTTCGTTTTGGAGGCCTTGTCCTACTGAAAGGCTGCATTGCTCCACAATCAGCAGCGCGACACGGCCCACAAATATCATCCCCGGTGCATTGGTAACTTCTCCGTCCCTTGTAATAATAAATGTGTAACAGACTCAGAATGACCCTCTAACCACAGACTTTTGTGTTTTTCCCCTAACTGTATTCACAGTAAGTGGCTTCCCCATCAGACCATCTGTGACGACTTGCAAACTGAGTTGTCGAGTGAACTGCAGTGGCACAGAACTGCAACTTCTGCTGTGCCAGGAGGTCTCTGTTAGCAATAAGGCTCTTCTCCAGTCTCCTCTTTTTTTTATTCTCTCTCTCCCCTTTCTTTTTTTTCTTTTAGGTTCTGGCCTGCAGCTGCCAAGGACAAACAATGCCACCCTCTGGCACTGACTCCCTTTCCCCAGGGGGCTTGAATGCTCAGTGTGGTTGACTAGGAGTACACACAGTTCCATAAAATCCATAGTTTTGTGAATGTCTCTCCACCAGTGTCCTCTTCTTTGCCTATGTGAGTGGCCAGTCTCTGCTACATCCCCCAAAGGGGACCTGAGCCACGCAAGGAGCAGAAGGCTCCAACAGGAAAGGTTGGACTGAAAAGGGAAAGCGTCCTGGGTCGAGATTGTGCAATGCAGTGCAGTGTTGAACCGTGTCTTGCGGGAATACAAAGTGCTTGGCAGATTGCAAAAGGGTCCATGCTCGACAGCAGCTGCAAACTTCATCTGACTTCATGCAGCAGAAAATGTCTTGGTAATCTTAACTGTGTTGCTATAAAAGCATCATTATAGTGGAGAGACCAGGTGTTGCAGCCTCTCCTCCAAGTGAACAAGGATTATAGCATGGCAAAGTTGGGTCCAAAGTCGTTGTCTTCATCGTGTCTCCAATCCAACCTTGCTATATGGTCTGTTCGCAATATTCTGCATAGGTTGCTGCTTCTGTTGTTGGTGTTGCCAAAGGGGTGCACTGTGGTACTATACAGCACCCAAAGTGTATAGGAGACAATGTTGGACTCAGCGCAGCTTAGCGTATTGGTGCAGCCATCCCTGAATCTGTCTTTTGTTGTGCTTTAAATGCTGGTAGCAATATGCCAATGCAGCCTTGGGTCATCTACCATAGCTTGTGTGTGCAGCCAGAGAAGAACCATACTTATACCCCTGCAAGTTTATAGATGTTATGATGTATGTATATAATGTTTGGCTTTGCTGTTCTGCTCCTCTAAAGGTATGTGGCATTAACTTTCAGAGGCACTTAGATTGATTTAGTGGGGGGGAAAAAAATGGATATGCTTGCAACAGGAAGGGGTAACCATGTCACCTTGATGGCACTTTAACTTGCTCCACAACCTCTGACAATGGAGGAAGGCTCTTGATTTCTAGTAGGACTTCTCCGTGCACCTGAAGTCTTTAATGAACGCATCCTCCTGACCTGCTCCACGCTGTATCTCCTGAAGATCAATGGGAACACAAATGAATGGGTCGTTCTGAAAATGCAGTGCTAGTGGACGCGTTACCTATCTACTTTACCGGCTCTAATTGGCTTCTTAGGAGATTTTTTCCAATACCGGCTAGGTGAGTTGGTAACAAAGTGCTTTTTGCCTTTTATTATAAGCTGTCTAACCTGAACACTGGATTGCCAAGGCAGAAACATAATAATGAACATATTTTGGTTTGCAAATGGTGCTGGATGCTTGCACAGCCCTTTCACGGTGGACTTTCTACTCCTGCTTCCATCCTTCTCACCCGCTGAACTGGCATCAGTGCAACAGCCACCTCAGGGCCTCTCGCCCACGTGAGACTTTGGACGTTTCCTCGGTCCCATGTGGATCTATCAAAACATTGTACAGCCTTTCTTGGGGGAAACAAGCTTCTGCGCTGTGTTGTACCTTGTGCAAAGGAAGCTTTCACAGCATACCATCCATGCGCTGCTGCACCTCTGCATTGCACGCAGGAGCTGCAGAAATGGGTGTCAAGGTAGAAGCAGGAAAATGCAGAGCGCCTTTTGGACGGGTAGCGAGATGAGTGGAAAGAGTAGATGCAATCTGCGCTCCAGTCTGAACCTGAAGCCAGTCCCCAAGGAGGATAGGAAAGAGGCCAACAGGATCGTCATCGGTGTCATTTGCCATATGCGAGGTTTGCAGGACATCCTATGAGCCCCCTGGATGGGACCAAAGATGGTAAAAACAGCTGGCTTTGTTTGGTGTCTTGCTGTCCACACGTCTGACTGGAAGAGCATTTGTCCATGTCTTGGTCGGGATAAAGGCACAGAAATGGTTCATGGCATATGTTCGATGGTCTGAGGCATCTGGGTACCAAACAGTGCAAACAAGAAGGGGAGGCATGGATGAAAAGTGAGACAAGGAGTGCAGGGGAGCCTAACTTTGCAGTAAGATAATGGCCGCTGTGGGACTGCCAAGTTATTTTTGCATCGTAGTAAGAATAAGGCTCAGCAAGGAGTGCAAAGTTGCTGCTATTTGCATCAAGAAGGTCATGTATAAGCTCCTGTCGTTGCAACTTCCTTGCCCTCACACACAGCTTCCACCTCTGCCGAGCACGTTAATCCCACGCAGGCTGCTACAGCACTGCTCAAGGACTTCCAGGATCAAGGCCCATGTCTCTCCTGTCCTCAGGATGCCCAGGAAAGGGTACAAAAACAGAAAAACTGCTCACTCCCATCCGGCTGTCCGACCAGTTACAGGAACGAGAGAATCGCAGACAAACGGCTGTATCCAGTGCTGACGCTCTTCTCTTTTAGGGCCACTGGGGTTGGAAGCTATCTGGGCTCATTGCCCATCTGTATTATCCCTCCACTCTCCCATCTTTGCCGTTTGTTTTGGTTTAAAAATATAACCCAAGTGCAAAGCCAGCTGGCTGCATGCTCCACCCATGTGTGTGCTGGGGGGAGGCATGCTTGCTACGGGGATCGTTGCACAAACGCGTGTGCTGTGTGTGAGTGGCTGTGTAAGAGAAATGGTGTTGCCACCTTCCTGTTGGCTCCAGGGAGCTCAGGATTAGGCCCAATGTGCACAGTGAGAGCTGCTGAGTGCTCCCCTGTATCTGAACACTTCTCACGGCTTTCCACCAGTGAATGTTGTGTTGTCTAGCAGAGGTCTTTGGGTTTGGGAAAGGCTTTGTGCGGGGTGAGCAGGTCTTCCCAGTTGAATTTAAGTAAGAACAGTTAACCTCCCTGTTGCCTGGCTGGCGAGGAACCGAACCCTGCGCCATCCAGGAGAGGTGTCCTGCCCGCTCCCTTGTCACACGGGGCCGGACAGTCTTCTCTCCAGCTTGCATCGTTATTTGCCCCATGCAAAACCGGTGTTTGAGTCCAGGTCCGAACGTGGCTTTGTCAATGAACCGTGTGAGGGGAAATGAGCTTGCAGTGACTGTAGACAGGAGAGGACCTGCGAGCAGACAGCTGAAGCCACCTTCAGTCCAGGCGGAGGGCTGCTCTGGGTAGAACCGAAATGCCCCGCTTTCCCCGCTCCCGTCAGCCCATGCACCTGCACAGCGTCTCTCTTTGGTCCTGCCTTGGTCTGAAATGTTGAACTGTTTCTTTGAGTGAATGAAAGTCATCTTTTGCACCTGTCCTTTTTACCGAGGGGTGGTGGTCCTCCCGTCTCTCCTTTCTGGCCTCACTGCCATTTCTTTCCATCCTTTGCGCGCTTGTCAAGGGCTGATAAACTTTATGTTGAGGCTTTCTGCCAAGAAAATATAAACCGCATCTCGACGGTTGTCTTTGTCATGCTCACAAATTCCAGAATGTATTTCCCTACCCAAGCATACCCTTTCCTTCTCATTTACCATATGATTATAACCAACAGGCTTGGGGCTCCATACCATCACTATAACAGCGACATCATAGAAAGGTAATAAATAGAAGAGGCTAGATTTTGCCTCTGTATTTTAGCAGATACGTTTTGCATTCCCTAAAATGTCACATTTACAAAATCTTGGCTGGGTGCAAAATACAAGTGTTCTGAGACCTGTTTCATGCATTGTAAATTGAAACTGCAATCCTGCTTAATTAACAAACAGCATGAATGCTGCATTATCCACCAGGCTTTCTACACGGATATAAATTTCTCTCTTTATGACAGCACCGGGTTCACTCTTCAGCCTTCTGATCATAGCAGTGTAAAAATTGAGTCAAAATGACTAACTTCAGCAACTACTTAATGTAGAAAGCTGCTTTTCCTTGCTGCTGTGCAATGGTGGACAGTGTTAAAGGTGAAAGGGAGCAAACACAGCCGTGCCAAGATAGTGTAAAAAGATTCTGTATTTTCCAAGCTGCTCTCAGAGTCTGTGAAGAGGCAAGTGCATGCTCATCTGCATCTAGAAAACACATCAATTGAAGTTAATCAGAGGTGACAAATTGTATCTGATTTGCTTTTTTGTTTTGTGAATGTGTATCCAATGGTAGGAATATTATAATCTGGGTCATAAATTTGATAATCATGTGTCCTCAGTATGTCACTCCACTCCACTGTGGCCTGCAGAAAACAACCAGGGAGAACAGTCATGGCAAGTCCCACCAGCTGTTCAAATTTGCTTTTCCAACACTGCTTCAAGTGTCAGTTCATGCCAGACCCTGTCACATCAATGACAAGACCACGCCTTGATACCTGCCGTCAGGCCAGGGTCTGGGGTGGGAAGGACAACACGTTATACTTTGCTGAACTCCAGATCCCTTCCTTACCTCCTTCATCCTTCCTTCCTCGCTTACTTCTTTCTAGCAGCCCCAGCAATAGCTGAGCTTTGAACACTGCTCACATAGTAATTGAGCTGGATAGACTGCAAGAGTCCAGGAAGGCAGAGGACACGGGGAGCCAGTGGCGTTTAGTGGAGAAGGATTGTGAGTGCCTGATCTCAAAAGGCCTGATGCATTGCATAGTGAAATCAGTGGGAATCTTTCCACTGATTTCAGTAGGGTTGGGTCAGGCCAAATGACTCTCCACAAGCCTTTACGCAACATAAAAAGTGGTCATTTAAGAGAAGCTGGGTGCTAATATGTTGTGTTTCCTCCTCTGGCTACTAATATTGGGCTTAAAGCCAACCAAGAGTTGGGTCCTTTTGTGCATGGGAATGCACACATACAGAGTAGAGGCAGTCGGGCTGCGCGAAGCATCCGGTGCTGATTCGATTCGGAGGAGATTCGGCCTGATTTGGTGGCCGAATCGCCAAATCCAGATTGAATCAAGGGATCAATTAAAAGGTCTGACTCGATCCAAAGCTCTCCAAATCGATTTGGAAAAGCTTCAGAGAGCTTCTATGATTTGGGCAGTCCTTGGTGGCTGCAGCAGGGAGCTGGAGCCAGACTCGGAGCTGGTAAGTAGGGGCGGGGAGGGGACCATGGGGACTGCCCCGCCTGCCCCAGCTCCTGGTCTTTAAAAAAAAAAACCAAAAAACAAACAAACAAAAAGAAAAAAGCCCCCACTCACTGGGTGCTGCCAAGTGGGGGGCAATCTCTGTTGCTCCCCACTGCCCCACAGTGCATGGGGGGCTCTGTCACGAGCCCCCTGACCCCCCTCCCTGCTCCACCAGCCCCCTCCGTGGCTGTCCTGCCCACCCCAGCACCTGCCCTTTAAGAAAAAAAAAAAAAGAAAAAAGACCCCATACTCACCAGCTCCTGCAGTGGCCATGGGGCTCGTGAAAGAGCCCCCCATGCAGCATGGGGCAGTGGCGATCGCGCCCCACCGGGCAGGAACTAGTGAGTCCAAAGTTTTTTTTTTTTTAAGGGCTGGAGCTGCGGTGGGCGGAGCAGCCATGGCGGGGCTGGGGATTTGTGTAGAGCCCCCCACGCAGCATGGGCAGTGGGGGCAGGGGGGATCACCCCCCACCCGGCAGCACCCGGTGAGTCGGGGCTTTTTTCAAAGTGCGGGGAGCTGGGGCGGGCAAGGCAGCCGTTGCTGGGGCTGGGAGAGTGGGTGGGGGATGGGCCTGTGTGATTTGGAGAGTCAGCCGAATTGATTCGGGACAGTGATTCGAATCACCGAATCGAATCGCTGC